GCAGTAATAAGTAAATCAAAAATAATAATTGATTAAATAATATATGAAAATTGTAATTAAATAATTATGTATGAAAAAATAATATATTGCGTGAAAATTATAATTAAATGTGAAGTTGTAATTTAATAATATACTTATATGTGCTCATACACGCACGCACGTACCCACGCACGCACGCACGCACGCACGCACGCACGCACGCACGCACGCACACACACACACACACTTTATTACGAGAATACTTTATCGTATATAAATATAACAATCTACACAATATAGAATCTCTGAACAAATTTGATTTAATTTTTTAGTAAAACTTAATTTTATTAACCCCTTGCCATAATTTTCTCTTATAAATTAAAAAAAAATTAAATTTTGTACTCACGACTTTCATCCGTGATACTCATGTTTGAGTATACAATACCGATTTCCTTATCATGAGTCTCACACAATATTATAAGCGAAAGAGTTAATTATATTTTATGAGAAGGAGATTCTGCTAGGAGCTAACTGGAGATCCAGTTAACCTAACCTAACCTAACCTAACCTAACCTAACATAATCTGCAATTTCAATTTGTTGAAGGCAGTCACATTCTTGATTAGAAATCGACGTATTAAAAATTGGGGACCACATAAAATGTTCAGTATCCATACTGTACGTATTTATACAGGGTGCGTCACCAAAATCCGGACAAATTTCAATTTAAATTTTCCGCTATATTGTGCCTCCGCCAGAGATTGTTGGTGTTCGAGAAAGTTTGATGCTTAGTAAACAGACATATTGGCCAAAATGGCCGCGATGTTGAAATCAAGTGCGGAGTATAATCGAAGAGCCGCAATCATCGAAGGCCTTCGCGCTGGATGCTCAGCAATGGAAATAATTCGATTCTTTGGATATTCGAAATTAACCGTTTATGACGTTGTGGACATATACAGCTTTAGAACAGTCCAACGAAGATTCCAGTATGCCAGTGAGGAAGTCATTCGAAAGAACACCCCGCAGTCGGAGTCGATAAAAGGGCTTAAGCGCTGATTTCGAATGATCCAGGGCAATCGTTGCGAAAATTAGCATCGATTATTGGTGCAAGCGAGCCAACAATGCGTCGAATTGTCGAGGAGGACTTTCGATACAATTCGACATTAAAGACAGATGCTCTCTGAGGCTGCCAGGACAAACCGAGTTGCTTGTCTCCCATTCTGGCCTTCCAGATTTAAATTCCTTGGACTACTACGTGAGCATAATTGAAAAGATCGCAAACAAGATATCTCAATGTGACGTTATTAAAGATCGCTATTGAGGCAGCATTCGTCGGCATGGACAGCGATACATTACAGCGAACGTTTCAAAGAATAGAAATTGTCATTCAAATGATTCAATCTAATGAGGGATATATCGAATAATTGTGCTTTACAGGGATCCCCCAAGTGTCATGTAAAAGGATTTTTTGTAATATTTAATTTTTCATTAAAAATATTTTGTTTAAAGAAATTATTCGATTTGTCCAGATTTTGATGACGCCTGTACTGTGGTACCATCAGCTTTCTTAGAGATAAGAACTTATGTCAAAGGAACAACAGATCGGATTGGCAGGATATTAAACAAACACAATCCAAACTATCTTCAAACCCAAAAAAATAGGACAAATCTTACAAGTCCTAAAGACTTCCACTCAGCAGGAGTATACAAAACCTTGTTCCTACGGACAAGTATACATTAGAGAAACCAAGAGAATAGTCAATCTACAGATAAAAGAACACCAACGTAATGTCAGGCTAAAATACGCCACGCATTATCAGAACACAACATTGAAACAGGACATCAAATACAGTTTGACAAAATGACTACAATAGCCAACATTATCATACTTTCACAGTATAAAGAAGCCATAGAGATACAAAAAATACCTTAACAATCTAAATAGAGGTAATGACTATAACACAAATAAAGTATGGAAAACCATTCTCTCTTATTGAAGATCGACCAATTTCCCTCACTTTCCCCTTCACTCACAATTCTCTTCTTCCTCCCCGCCACTCCAACAAGTAGCATAATACAGTGATGCCAGGCATGTCGCACTTGCGCATTGTTTACAACTTAGCTATAGCTATTAGGTTAAAGTAACAATATGATACCGTGTGGACCGCGAAATCTGAAGACCAAACCGGACAACAGGAGGTGTGAAGAATCCTAAGACAAAAATGGAAATGAGGTAAAATATTTTAAGTTAGAAAATGAATCGCAATGGAGTCAGGAAAAAGGCTCCAAAAAGGTATGTATCCAAAAATTTAGAAGATCTTGGTTAGAACGAAAATATCTTTAAAGGTTAGTTGGCAGAGAATGACAATAAAGCTTGGTGTAATATTTTGCTTAAATGTTGTCGACATTATTTATCAAGGCATGCTGAATCAGCTTCTCATATAGATAATGTAAATAGTATTGATGTAGAAATCAATATCCCACAATAAGAGATATATCTAATTTCTATATATTTATTTCTTTTTTGGGCGACTAAGGACGCCAGTTGCACGAACGGATTACTCTACTGGCGCTTTGAACTGCGCACATGCGTGAGTGCGGGGCATGTATGGCAGCACTGGTATAATATAAAAGGAACAACTCAGGCCAGTGATGCACTGTCGTAGGAATAATTCACACGACAGCGCATCATTGTATCAGGCTGTTCCTTGCCCTAATGAAGTGGATTGCAAAGTTCATGAAACGTTGGCATTTCAAAAATGGACACGAAGAAAACCCGCGAAACGCAATAATCTTTATATAGAAAGCACCCGTGGAATATTATCCTCAAGAATATTATCAATTATAATTGTTATTAATAGTGTTCTGTTGCTTAAATGAATAATTTTTCTAATTGTTAATTATTTCCTTAACAATTATATAACAATTTCTTCATTTCTTCGTTTTATTTCAAGTATGTGCAATATATCTCGACAAGCGTTGCGTTTTGCGTGTTGCAATTTATTTATGGTTTTACGTTACAGTCATCATTGTAGACTTTAGGGAGCGTTTGTATTATAACAGTATGCGGTACTCTGTAAGAATTGACTAATCACAGTCGAGTATTCTCCTCCCATTTTATTGTAAAAAGGGAATACTCAAAGGTGATTGGAAGATAATTTTTACAAATTACGGCATATGGCATATGGTTACGGCCAATATAAATGCTCCCTTAAATGGAATGGAATTATAGTTACCTCAAATTTTCTAGTAAAAAATCCGTTCATTTGTTCCGATTCCATGTACGGCACCCTTAAGCACCAGAACTATTCTTGAAAAGAAACGTATACGAAAAACTAAGGAAATATTATATTATACTATATTATACCATCGACGAGATATACTATTAAAAACTGTCAATCCTGGACAAATTTTCGGCAGTATAAAAAGAGTCCGGAGGTAATTGAAGAAACGCTGATATTATCGACAATTGATACAAATTTATTATTATTAACATAAATATTTGACTCATATATTATTAAATTCATGATTTTTTATTACATAAATGTTTCAATTTTTGTTACATAAATAAATATACTCGTAAAGCTATAATATTCTATCAATATATTTGCAGAAAAATTACAATTGTTTCTTTGCGATTATCATCTTTGTTGATAACTTTGACGATAATACGAAATCATAATTTTAAAGAAAAATCGAGTATTATTGAGTTATAAATGCATAATTACCTCTACTAAACTAATAATCATAAAATTAGTACAATATTATTGTATCAATTTTTAACTCTTAATCACTTTAATATTCACAAGGAATTCTCGTAAGGATGTCGGTTTTTAATAGTATCTCGGTGATTACACGTAACATATACTGTAGTATTTCTCTAGACTTTCGTATACGTTACTTTTCAAGAATAGGACCCCAGATACGTCTCAATAGATTCGGTGCTTGTGTAAACTTATTCAGGCCTGTTAGTAAATCTGTTCAAAAATAATTCCTGAACAAAATGAAGTGGTTACGGACTATCAAATAAGAGAGCGTTTATATTAGTTGTAACTGTATACCTGAGAATACACCAATAAGTTTGAGTCTGCTTAATGCAACTATTGTTGTGGATATTGTTATTGATAGTGAGTCTGTTAGGGAACGTTTATTGGTCATAACCGTATGCTGTATGCTGTAATCTGTAAGAATTGATTAATCACAGTCAAATATTTCCCTCTCATTCGATAGTAAGAAGGTAATACTCGAAAGTGATTGGTTAATTTTTACAGATTACAGCATACGGCTTATGGCTATGGCCAATATAAACGTTTTCCTAAGATTCACTATCAAATATCTACAACAATGGTTGCATTAAAACTATTAAAATTATAAAAGACTCAACTATTATTGATATATTCTTCTAAATCATTCAATCAGAATTTTAGATCTAGAAGAATATATCAATAGCATTGAACGTTCACTGAACTATTGAGTCCGCTGAATGCAATGTCAAGCAGTCACGCTTGTAGCAACGGGCAGCCATATATTGAAGCGAAGCACTCTAAAAAGTATCAAAGCTGCTCGAATGTGACGTCATCAAGTTGATGCGCAGTAGAAGTCTAAATTCATCTATGGGATGAGAATTTCCTTCATTTCTATCATAGTAATACATAGGTTTTGAAATTCAATTTTTATGGTATACAGCATATATGGTATACAGGGGAGTCATCTAATGTTAAATATAATATTATATTATAAATATAATATTAAAAATATCTATGCTATAAAATAAAAAATAGCTCGTGTAGGAGCCCTAAAATAGGAAAGAATTATTCATCATGTTGAATTTAAATGTATTCATGGATTCAAATAGATTTGAAAAATTAGAAGCGCAAATTCGAAATTAATTAATTTCTATCTGTTTTATTATAATTTATTCTCGTTTACTAAAAAAACAAGAACAGCCAAAAATTAGATTTTTTTTCTATCATATGAAGATTGACAGTTTAGAAAATTATATAGGGTATTTGGAAAGTTCGTGCCGATTTTGAAGGAAAATTGAAATGCAGAAGATTTAAATTTTAGTATACATTTATTAAATTATATAGGTGCCATTCTGTTCTACAACCTTTCTCCATCTTTCAGGCAACTTGAAAATTCCATCCTTCTCTCAGGTTTTTCAGCGAAAAACTTTTCTAAGTGATTTTTTACTTCGACCAAAGAGTTGAAGCTTTTTCCATGAAGGGAATTTTATAATAATCAAAAGGTAGAAATCAGAGGGTCTAGTGAATATGGTAGATGGGGTAGAATATCCCAACCGAGCTCTAACAACTTTTGTCGAATTATCAAAGACATGAGGCCGCGCATTGTTTCTATTTCTGGATGTTTTTGTTCAATTGCTGTTTTCTTCAATTTGTCTAATTGGGAACAACTTCTTTGAATTTATCGTCTCGATGTTTGGTAAAAGCTCATAATACAGGATCCCTTTCCAATCCCACCAGACACAGAGCATGACCTTCTTTGGATGAAGACCGGCTTTTGGGGTGACTAAAGGTGGTTCATTCCGCTTTCCCCAAGATCTTTTTCGCTCAACGTTATTGTAAATGATCCATTTTTTATCCCCCGTCACTACTTGCTTCAAAAATGGTGTCTCCTCGTTGCGTTTATAGAGCGAGTCGCAAATGGAAATGCGATCCATCAGATTTTTCTTCGTTAAATCGTGGGGAACCCATACATCAAAACGGTTTATGTAGCCAAGCTTCACAAAATGGATGGTGGATTTTGATATATTTAACATTTCTGCTAATTTACGTGTCGTATAGCGTGGGTTATTCTCAATCAGTGTTTTAATCTTCATCTGTGATGGAGGGCCTACCTGGGCGTTCTTGATCTTCAAAGTTAAAATCAGCTTTAAACCTAGCAAATCAGCTTTAAACCAAACCACTTCCGCACAATTTTTTCAGCTACAGCACCTTCGCCATAAACAGCGCATATCTTGTTTACCTTTCTGGTAAAAGAAATGTCTAAAATATACTTTGTTTTCTTCCATATTCAAAGGCGTATAAAACTGACAAAAATTAACGTATCGCAACCAAATTTTTTTCCAAGTATGCCTGAAATATCATCTTTTATCAATGTACGCATGTCATTTGTTTTCGTTCTAATATATTCAGACCTGTCCTTACCACCTACCAAAAATCGGCACGAACTTTCCGGACAATCCAATAATTAATACAAGAAACAGATATTTTTTTTACGATCACATAAATATCACTACATTTTCTTTATATATATATATATATATATATATATACACACACACACACACACACACACACACACACACACACACACACACACACACACAGAGAGAGCAAACGTTTTTTAAATTTTAAATATTATTATATAAACATTACGTGCACGGATATATTTATATGGCAAGAGAAATTAAACAATTAATCTAT